ATGCTAGACATCCGCCTAGGCGACCTGGACACGTGAAAACAAGCGTTTCGCTCGGAACATCCTGAGCACATCTTCATGTTAGACATCCGCCTGGGCGACCTGGGCAAGTGAAAACGAGCATTTCGGTCGAGACGTTCTCTACACATCCTCATGCTACACATCCACCTGGGCGACCTGGACACGTGAAACCAAGCGTCTCGCTCTAGACATCCCCAACAAATCCTCATGCTAGACATCTGCCTGGCTAATCAGGACAAGTGAAACACAGCGTCTCGCTCGAGACATCCTCAAGACCTGGGCACGTGAAAGCAAGTAATTCACCTGTGACATCTTCTAAATTCTGGCCCCCAGGAGAGGAACAATCTATAACACAAAACAAGCATCTCGCGCTACACATCCTCAACACATTATGCAACACAAGCGTTTCGCTCGAGACATCCGCAACAAACGAAAATGTTGATTTGACATATCGATCGGGATTTCATAAACCAACGTTTCGCTCGGGACATCCTCAACTTTGTAGTTCGCCTGCCCTACGCGACCTCGTTGTTTATCAAAGATGAATTTCGCCAGCTCTGCGCAAGTCAAAGCCGGGGAAGGAATCATCTAAAAAAGAACCCTGGGCCCATGCCTTTTCCAGAAAAAAAACAGCGTTTCGCTCGCGACATACTCAAATTCTAATCCGCCGGCCCTCTTCGACCTCGCACTTGGCACCGGGGACAGATTTCCACACTAAAAAAAGGAAACAAAGCCAGAGCCCTTTCCGCGAAAACCTCATGGACCCACGAGCCCAGAAAAGGAATATAGCAATGTAAGGCATGGCGACGTTTGTAAAGACACCTGAGTGGGCGACGGGCAAATGCAATGCTAAGCGTATCGATCTTGATGTCGAGCACAACTGGGTGCAGCACCACAGGATCCACCCCACGGAGTCGAGTAGCACGTCGCTGACCAGCACCACCGTGACAAGCAGCATGGCAACGGGGACCAGCGGAACTAGCAGCACGTCGACGAAGTGCACCACGGGTCTTGCACTAAGGGATCGAGCAGCACGTCGCCGACGCGCACAACTGCGACAAGCAGCTCGGCGACAAGCACCAGTGAGTCGAGCAGCACGTCCCTGACGAGCACAACAAGGTCGTGCACCACGGGCTCCAGCACAACGGGGTCGATCAGCAGACCGCTGACCTGCACCACCCAGCAAGCAGATCGACAACAAGCACCACTGGACAGTAACGCGACGTCGACGAGCACCGATGGCTCCAGTACAATGGGGTCGAGTAGCACGTCGGACGTGCACAACTGGGACTAGCAGCGCGGAAACGAGCACCAGCCAGACGTGCAGCACGACGCCGACTAGCATCACGGGGTCTAGCACCACGGGCTCAATCACAACGAGGTCGAGCAGCACGTCGTTGACGAGCACAACTGAGTCACGCAGCACGGCTACGAGCACCAGTGGGACTAGCAGCACGCCACCGACACACACACACACACACACACACGCACACATGGGTCGAGCACCACAGGCTCGGGCAGCACGTCACGGTCCCACACCACCGAGACAAGCAGCTCGGCAACAAGCACTGAAATCAAATATTACACCGGGACTGGGTGGTGCGGTGCCTACTGGCTGCCTTAGGCCGGCGCCCCCCCCCCCTGCTGATGGCCGAAAGGGTTCAGTGGGCTCCGGGCTCCGATGCTCGTGTGTCCTGCTTCCTCTTGCCGCAGCGGTTAGCTGCCACAACGGGTTGCCTACCGTGCCTGGCGTGCACTTCCCCTCCTCTCCCTCGTTTCACCGGGTTTATCCCACGCGGCCGGGGTTGCCGCCAATACCGCTGTCTGATGGTGCTCTGACAGCCTGACTTCCATGCAAGGTTCACACTGGGAACGGGCGGTCAGCTGGCCCCTGACCTGCTCCTGGCTGGTGTCGGCCTCTACTGGTGACCGGGAGGGTTCAGTGAGGTCTCGCTTCGAATTCCATGCAAGGACCACACTGGGGATGGGCGGTCAGGTGGCCCCTGGCCTGCTCCTGCTTGGTGTCAGCCTCCACTGGTGACCGTTTGGGTTCCGTGGGGTCTCGCTACGCTGCCGTCCTCTTCGGTGCATGGACTTCGGCATGTGTGGCTCTGGGCGCCCGTCGGCTGCTTTCTCCTACACGGATTTCACTTTTGACCTGTGCCACTGGGTGTACATACAAGAGGATCTGCCGTTTGCAGTCCTATCTGTGACGAGGCTGCCCCCTCTTCACTCCGGCGCTGACACGATGCTGTTGTGTCACCTACGGCAAGGATGTGGTCCTTGAGTGCCTGTCGGAACTGCTCGTTTTTGTCAGGCCTTATGCCGACTCACACCGGGTGATCGACCTCTGCGTGTTCATAGTCGCGCCGCCGCGCCATTTTGGCTGCGCCTACTTGATGGTCGCCACCGGGATTTCCACGCCACCGGGTTGGGAGTGCCGTTCCTTGTCCTCCTTCTGAGTGGCTGCCCGCTCGCTCGCTTCGCTTGCCCCTCTCTTTTCTTTCTGCCTAGTCGGGGCCCGGCTAGTGTTCGGACGGCTTTCGACTTGCTTCGCGAGCCCGCAGTCCAAAAAGTATCGATCTTGATGTACCGTGCGGAGGGCTGTGCTGTGCTGCGCCGTGCTGAATTGCGATGTACCATGCAGCGATTGTGCTCTATAGCGTTGTGGATCGAGTCCTCCTTTTGCATCCGAGTCCTGACCGAGATGATCTGGATCTTAAGCTCGAGCTCCTGAGCACATAGTGGCTGCCCCACAGCTAATTGACAGGGGGCCATGCCAGGAGGACACGCCGCGGAACTTCCCAAGGGACGCGCCAGGCGGCGTGCCAGGGGACGTGCCATGGGCACGCACCGCAAGACGTGCCAAGGGGACGCGCCTCGGAACGTGCGCAGTGGACGTGCCACGGGACGTGCCAGGGGACGCGCCGCGCGACGTGCCAGAGGGAATCGCCACGGGGCGCGCCACGGAACGTGCCAGGGAACGTGCCAGGTTGCAATGCTGAAAGTATCGATCTTGATGTATCATGCCAAGGGCTGTGCTGCGCTGCGCCGTGCTGAATTGCGATGTGCCATGCCGCGATTGTGCTCTACAGCGTTGTGGAACGAGTCTTCCTTTGCATCCGAGTTCTGACCAAAGTGATCTGGATCTTAAGCTCGAGCTGCCCGAGCACATAGTAGCTGCCCCGCAGCTCATTGACAGGGGGACATGCCAGGAGGACGCGCCGCAGAACGTCCCAAGGGACGCGCCAGGCGGCGTGCCAGGGGACGTGCCATGGGCACGCACCGCAAGACGTGCCAAGGGGACGCGCTACGGAACGTGCCAATGGACGTGCCACGGGGCGTGCCAGGGGACGCGCCGCGCGACGTGCAGGGGGACTCGCCACGGGACGCGCCACGGAACGTGCCAGGGAACGTGCCAGGCGACGCACCAGGGAACGTGCCAGGGAACGAGTCAGGGAACGTGGCCCGGGACGTCCCTGATCCAGGGCCAAGATCCATGGTAAATCACGCTGCGCCCGCGCTCCCAGGGCCACGATCCCCCGTGAATCATGTTGCATCCGCTCTCCCTGGGCCACGGCCCCTCGTAAACTACGCTGCGTCCGCGCTCCCAGTGCCGCGCTTCCCCGTGAATTACGCTGCATCCGCGCTCCACCCAGTAAATTACACTGTGCCCGCCCCCCCAGGGCCAGGATCCCGAATAAATTACGCTGCGTCCGCGCACCCAAAGCCACGATCCATCGTGCATTACGCTGCGTCCGCGCTCCCAAGGCCATGATGCCTTGTAAATTTGGCTGCATCTGCTATCCCTGGGCCACGATCCCTCGTAGACTACGCTGCGTCCGCGCTCCCAGGGCCGCGCTCCCTCGTGAATTACATTGTGTCCGCGCTCCCAGGGCCACGTTCCCATGTAAAGTTAATTGTGTTCGCCCCCCCGGGGCCAGGATCCCTAATAAATGATGCTGGGTCCGCGCTCCCAGGGCCACCATCTTTTGTACATTACGCTGCGTCCGCGCTCCCAGGGCCACGATCCATCGTACATTACGCTGCGTCCGCGCTTCCAGGGCCACGATCCCCCATAGATTGCGCTGCGCCCGCTATCCCTGGGCCACGATGCCTCGTAGACTACGCTGCGTCCACGTTCCCAGGGCCGCGCTGCCTCGTGAATTACATTGTGTCCGCGCTCCCAGGGCCACGTTCCTTAGTAAATTAAGCTGTGCTCGGGCTACCAGAACCACCTGGGCATCCTGGAGCGCCCAGGCCGCTAGAGGTATGCAAAACAAGCGTTTCGCTCGAGACACCCTCGAAGCATCTCGCTCGAGAACAAGCATTTCACCTGAGACATCCTCTAAATTCTGGTCCCCAGGAGAGGAACGATCTATAGCACAAAACAAACCTTTCGCTCGAGACATCCTCAACACACTATGCAAAACAATCGTTTCGTTCGAGACACCCGCAACAAACGAAAATACTTACTTCACCCTGTGTTTC